ATGCAACTCAAATTGCCTTGTTGGACTTGCACAAACATGTCGTTCATCAATAGCACTATTCAAGTCATCGGTATTGACCACAATCGACACTCAAATGTATAAGAGAACAACGATCACATTCAAAATCGAGCAGTCAAGAGATAGACTAATGATTCAAAGCAAACATTCATTCACATTCAAACAACACGGATGAGGTTCGAACAAAAATAACAAAATGACAAAGTATCAAAAAAGAAAAAAAATACAACCAAGATGATATGTATCAAGATACCTTCACCACCACCAAAATATCTAAACAATATCCTCAATGTGAAATAAAAATTGAATGTATCAAAAGGAAAGAAAATGGAGGGAGAGTAAAAATCCCCCTGTCAGGCTACGCCTGAGGTGAACTCTGTGCACATGGGGTTTCCTCAACCTGGGCATCGGTGCCCGGCTCGACTCTAACTCTGGAGGTCTATGCAACTATCTCCTCTATGGGCTGAGCCGCTCGAGCCAATCATGGATGTGTTATGCAGTGAGGCCTCCATGGCCATTCGCACCAAGTCACCCTCCAAATCCTCTAGCTCCTCGAACACTGCCTCATCACGGGCCTCTATCTCTTCCTCATCTATCTTGGTTGTGTTAGAATCTCCATCATCATCAGCTGTAACAGTATTTCCGGTCATAGTAGCTGGATGGATCTCAGAAACAGCTGGCATATCCGCACTAGGGTCCTTGGGAATATCTACCTTACCCCACAACATCGAGATATCGGTAGACTTCAACTCATACATATCATGTCGGAGACCATTAATATCAGCCTTCAAGGCTGTCACATCCGCAGAGCCACGGTCAGACGTCTCACATACCTAAACCTGAATAGTGAGGGCATTTAATTCCAACTTGTGGGCTATGACCATCTACCGCTTTACTCTCAACTCCTCCAAAGTAGGATCCAATACAACAGCTATAACTCGGTCAATCATCGCTAGCATAACAGCCTCAACCCTTGAGGCCCTCACATCGACCAAATAGGCAAAGGTTGGCCATTTTGTATATCATGGCCTATGTCAAGAAGGGATGGGAAGAAATAGTAGGAGCAGGTGCAGTAGAGGTGCATGATCTAGGTATACCTATTAGCTCAATTGATGGAGTAAACTGAGTAGTGTCGGCCTCCATGGCCTCGACATTGACCACTGAAGAAGTGTCTCCGGAGCCTTCTTCCTCCTTTCAGCTTCATCTTATGTGTACTCAGCTTCAATCCTCCGAATATTAGTAGATGATGCAAGAGTCACCTCAGTACCCGTCTTTCCCACAAAGGGCATACAAGCTCGGTGACATAAATCACTGATAAGAATTGGAAATGAAAATGAGGTCTGGTTTTGTTTGGTCCTTATTGCCATCTCCTTTGAAATTATAGCCCCGAGTTTTAGCCACTCCCGATCAATAATACACCCAGCAGTGCAACCTTTGGATGTCGGATGATCGATTTATTCTATGAAGGCATCAATGTGCTAGAGATGAACCCAAACCAATACCAAGCAACAAAATTCAAGTCCTTCTTCTCAATCACAACTCCTGCCTCTATCCAAGAAGGACTCTCATCACTCAGCAACGGGACCAACCACTCCTTCAAGTCTTCCAACGTCTTGGTTTTGACCATGTCGGCCAAAGAATGGATAGTGCGCATAGTGCAGTCCAACAAATCATTAATGTTAGTCTAACAAATGGAATTGAGGCTTCTAAATTGGCTCATTTCATTCCCGTCAAGGTTTCTTATTGTGCGAAGCACTATGCTAAGTTATATTTCAGGAAAATGGTTAGGTTGCATGGAGTGCCCTTATCCATTATCTTCGATCATGGTACCCAATTTACTTCTCTGTTTGTAAATATTTTGAAAATGGTTTTAGTACTTGAGTTAAACTTAGTACGAACTTTCATCCGCAAACCAATGGGCAAGCGAAGCGTACTATCCAAACTTTGGAAGATATGTTTAGAGCTTGTGTAATTAACTTCAAGGGTAATTGGGATGATAACTTGCCTTTGATCGAGTTTGCGTACAACAATAGCTATCATTCAAGCATTGGTATGGCTTCATTTGAAGCCCTCTATGGTAGGATGTGTAGATCTCATATAGGTTGGTTTGAAGTGGATGAAGTTTCTTTGATAGGTCCCGAGTTGGTACATGAGGCTATGGAGAAAATTTGGCTTATTAGAGAGAGGTTAAAAATTACTCGAAGTCGACAAAATTACTATGCCGATGTTAGAAGAAGAGATCTTGAGTTTGAAGTTTATGATTGAGTCTACTTGAAAATTTCACCCATGAAGGGTGTGATGAGGTTTGGGAAGAAAAAAAGCTTATTCCCCGTTATGTGGGTCCATATATTAGATTTTGAGGTGTTTTGGTAAAGTTGATTATGAACTTGATTTGCCTAATGATTTGGCATCGGTGGATCCAATTTTTTATATATCTCTATTAAAGAAATGCGTTGGAGATCCAACATCTATATTTCCCTTGGAAGGTTTGGGAGTAAAGGTGAATCTTTCTTACGAAGAAGTTTTGATTGAGATTTTAGACCGGCAAGTTAAGAAGTTGAGAAACAAGGAAGTTGCTTCCGTAAAGGTTCTTTGGAAGAGTCAGTTAGTTGAGGGTGCTACTTTGGAGGCCGAGGCCGATATGATATCATGTTATCCTCATCTTTACCCTCCATTCCTACTCTAGCTTGAGGTATTCAGTCCTTCATGCTTTACTCTTTAGGTTTCATGCGTCTCAGATATCCCCGTGATTCCTCATTTATGCATGTTCATGAAAAACTTGATTTTTGAGAAAATGAGTTGACTTGATAGATTTCTTTATGTTTATGTGCATTTGAGTATGAGCTGCATGTATACCTTATGAAATGATGTTTTGAACATGCATTAGTTTGAAGTTGATGTTTCCTCCTCGATTATGTGCATTTATGTGATTGCATTCATGTTGGGCTATTAGGTTCAAGTTTCTACCCTCTGTATGATGTCTTGAATCCCATTCGAGGATGAATGTTCCCAAGGGGGAGATATTGTATAATGTCTTGAATCCCATTCTATGATAAGATAAGTCATGATTAATAACGATTCCATGAGATTTATGCTTAGCACCGAGAGATATTGAGATGGAAGCTCTCCCATAGTCGAGGTTGGGTTTCTAGTAGCAATCCTCTTATCCCATAACTATGTGCCACAATAGGATGTTGTCTTAGATATACATTAGCTAGTGGATCCACGTAAGCTAGAAGTTTATGGTTCTTCTCTTGGCAAGTGAGGACATCCTTTTTCGGTGTGGAATAGACATCAGATTCCATTCTATATCTCACATGGTCTACATGTCCGTTATAGGTAAATCTGCCACAATAACGAACTAAGGTTACTTCTAGAAGTATCTCACAAGTGATTTAAAGAAGTTTAGCATATGTTGACCATGATTATGATTTATGTTTTCTAACCCTTTTTATCTTATGATTTAGCATGGTCATTGCATGTCATGTAAAGTCCTTTTTAGCATGATTTCATAACTTTTATGCATTGCTATCATACTTTGTACTTTCCATGTACTAATGCATACTTCTGCCTACATTGTTTCACTAATGTAGGGTCACACGTTTTCCTTTCGCACACTCATGGCTAGTTGATCCTATTGAGCTTGAAGCCTTGGTTTGTGATGTATGAGTTACGTCCCAATCAATTTTCTTACGATTTAATGGATGGCTTATTGAGACAAATGTTAGACTTCCGTTTTGATTCAAAAATTCTTTATATAAAATGCTATCTATTGAACTCCTTAAGTTCTATTATCTTGTATGACGTATGTTAAGTGACTTGTGTAGGGACTCTTGACGTCTTATACGATATTTCATGTCTAGGGTGTACTTAGGGTCGTGACAATGTCAAAATACCATTGACCCTATAAGACGATAATCTTGTCATGCTCCTCATACAAACCGTTATGGATACTCAACAGGTGAATATGAATGATCTTATGTCTTACTAACAACCTTGAATTCTATAGTTGTGCCAAATTCGTACCTGCACGCTAGTGGTCAGAAATGTTGGGAGGATGCAATACATGAAGAAATAGTTCCCTTTAAGGAGAATGATACATGTGATATGGTGAATAGACCAACAAATGCAAAAATTATTAGAAGTAGATGGGTGTACTCAATCAAGATGAAAGTTGATGGATCCCTAAATTGATACAAGGCAAGATTGTAGCTCAAGGATACAAGCAGGAATATGAAATTGACTTTGATAAACATTTGCCCCAGTAACTAAGATGAAGACATTACGTATATTGCTTGCTTTAGCATCAATAAAAGATTGGAAGTTGCATCAAATAGTCTTCAAAAATGTTTTCTTGGATGGAGAGTTACAAGAAGTTGTCTACATGAATCCACCACCTTGTTACAAATATTTTAATAAAAACCAGGTGTGCCGTTTTAAGAAATCTCTCTATAGATGAAAGCAGGCCCCTCGCTCTTGGTTTGAAAAGTTTCGCACTACAATCTTAGATGATGGTTTTACTCAAAGTAACTCAGATTACTCATTATTTCTTCGTCGTTCTACCTCAGGTTTTACTATGTTTCTCCTTTATATGGATGACATGATTATCACAGGAAGTGATGAAGTTGGAATCTCTCATTTGAAAGATCTGCTACACTCTTCGTTCAAAATGAAAGACCTAGGAAAGCTAACATGTTTTTTGGGTTTAGAGGTAAGTTATGGGGAAAAAAGCATACGATTGAGTCAACTAAAGTATACAGAAGATCTAGTTCAGTTAGCTAATCTTATTGATCATAAAAAGGTTCATACTCCAATGGTAGCGAATACAAATTATTAAAAAGAGGAAGTAGAGATTTTTGGCAATTTGACCTTATATAGACGTCTGGTTGGATCACTTATTTATCTTACTATGAATCGTCCAAATATATCTTATGCAATACAACTATTAAGTCAAATTTGTTACCAAGCCTTACAAGATGTCCCTATACAGCTTTACTCAGGGTTATTAGATACATAAGAGGAACTGTGAATTGAAGTCTCTTATTCCCATCATCTTCATCGCTGGAAATGGTGGGATATGCAGATGCAGATTGGGCAGGATGCCCTGATTCAAGAGGATCCACAACAGGTTGGTGTATGATACTCGACTCTTTCATGATCTCTTGGAAGTGCAAGAAACAATCTCTAACATCGAAGTCATCCACAGAGGCAGAGTATAAAAGTATGTTTACTGGATGCTCTGAAATAATTTGGCTAGGAAGATTGTTATCAAAACTTGGCATCAAAATTGAAGAATCAACCACATTGTATGGAGATAACACTAGTGCAATTAGAATAACAATCAATCTTGTTCATCATGAAAATACAAAGCAAATACATGTAGATTGTTACTACATTTAAGAAATGGTTGAATATCGGAGTATTAACTTGAAGTATATATCCTCTTGAGATCAATTGACTGATTTATATACAAAGGTCATGTCAAGAAGTAAACAAAATTATCTTTTGTCCAAACTCATGATTTTTGATAAACAACATTGGTTTGAGTTTGAGAGAGAGTGTAGACTATACCTTATTTATTAGTCCCAAATCAGTTTCAAATCATCCCCAAATCAGAGATCTCCCAAAATCAGGGACTGAAATTTGCACATAATTAGAATTCTCATTTCTTGTATAAATATCCTTTAAATCCTATAGTTTTATTATTAAAAACAAATCACAATTCTTTTATATCTGGTTGTTCTAAGTTTCTATCATTATTCAACTAATATAAATAATTAAATGGATACATATAAATATATCATTATAGATAGATTAACATAAATAGATAATTTTTATCGTGTATTGCTTAAATTATGCAATTTATATTTGCCTTTTAACTATACTAGTTTTTTGACACGTGCGTTGCACGTGACTACCAATTCAGAAAATATATGTTATGGTAAATAGTATTGCTTATTTAAGTGAAGATTTCAATAATAAGTTCGGAAAATGGTCATATTTACCCTTGAACTCTTAGAAAAGGGTTATATTTATCCTTCGTCATACTTTTTTGATATATTTGCCCTTACCATCCAACTTTAGAGATATATTTGCCCTTGTATAGTTAAGTATTGTGTCACCATTTTTATTAGTTGACATGGCGCCTACATGGCTCCATGTGTATATATTTTTATTAAAATTAAAATTTTATTTTCTATTTAGTATTTTACCTGATCCATTTAGTAAAATTTGACCCAACCAAAATAAAAACCCATTAACCCATTAAATTTCCGTAGCTGCTGTCATGTTGTATAAGATGCAACAAGCTAAAGGACTATCATGGGCTAGATTCTTGAGAGTTCTCAATATCATATACCTGGAAATGGTACCATTGGGTGTTTTCTGCAAAAGGTATCCAAAATTACATTCTTGAAGATTCGTGCAAAAGGATGCATCAGGATACTAAGGTGCCATAGTATGTTTCTTATAAAATGATCGGCAACTGCTTCACTCCTTGCGCCTACAACAAAATTTAGTGAGAGCCCAAAATGAAGATGCTAGTGTTGGATCTTCTCTCTCAATCAAGATCGGAATGGCTTCTCTCTATATGAAGCTTTACAAGATGATGGGTATAGAAATTAGGGCAATTGGGTATTGGAATCGAGTTAATGGGTCTTTATTTTAGTTGGGTTGGATTTTACTAAATAGGTCGGATAGAATACTAAATAGAAAGTAAAATTTTAATTATAATAAAAATAAATACACATGGAGCCACATAGGCGCCACGTAAACAAATAAAAATGGTGACACAATACTTAACTCTACAAGGGAAAATATGTGCCCAAAGTTGGATGGTAAGGGCAAATATATCAAAAAAGTATGACGAAGGGTAAATGTAACCCTTTTCTAAGAGTACAAGGGCAAATATGATCCTTTTCCGTAATAAGTTTAACATAAAATAATATTGTAGATTATTCTGTGAATGTTCAATGTGGATTGTCATATATATTTCTTTTTCACGCGAGCCTATGGAGATGGTGAATGAAAAATTTTATTAGTTAAATGCAATAATGTATATATTTATTTAAATTTGATGAGGTTCAATCATGTAATTAGTCGTATCTCACTAAAATTACCTTATAGACGAAATTTGTTGTGTATTTTTCTTGTAATCTAACCAAATGTGCTATGAACATGTATTCCACGTTAAATTGTTTAGATGTCATATGAATATGCGGAGAGAACAACCACAATTTATCTTTTGGAACTATTTTCTATATATTAATTTGTATTTTATATACAGATAGTTATCTGACCGTCCATAGTTAACTCAGAACGGTTTTCTTTTTTTTAACCGGAAAAACTAAAAATTAAAACTTAAACAATATATTCTATCTGTGAAATCATATATATAATCAATTGTTCATCTTACACCCAACAAAGATATAGTTCATATACCTGTAAACGATTTTTCAATTTATTCAACAACAACAACAACAACATACCCAGTGAAATCCCACTAGGTGGGGTCTGGGGAGGGTAAAGTGTACGCAGACCTTACCACTACCTCGTGGAGGTAGAGAGGCTGTTTCCGGAAGACCCTCAGCTCAAGTGTAACAAAGCCAAGTAAAGGAAGAGAATTATATAAAGCATAACATCCAATAAGAAAAATAGTGCATAATCAACAAAGGGGGCAATACATCAAGAAAATAATGTGAGAAGTGAAACGCAGTAAACAACATAAGGCTATAGGAATCACAGACAAGAACTACAAGTGTAAGGCTAAGACTACTACAAACGCTAACAACCCATACCCTCACCAGGAAAGACAACACGCTAACCCTACTAGCCTCTTCACATGTCCAAACCATCTCAGTCTCGCTTCCCTCAGCTTGTCCACCACAGAGGCCACTCCCACCTTCTCCCGGATAACCTCATTCCTAATCTTATCGCTCCTAGTGTGCCCACACATCCATCTCAACATCCTCATCTCCGCAACATGCATTTTCTGAACATGTGAGTTCTTGACTGGCCAACACTCCGCTCCATACAACAAGGCCGGTCTAACTACCACTCTGTAGAACTTACCTTTAAGTTTAGGCGGGATTTTCTTATCACACAAGACTCCAGAGGCAAGCCTCCATTTCATCCACGCAACCCCAATGCGATGTGTGACATCATCATCGATGTCACCACTTCCTTGTATTACAGACCCAAGATACTTAAAACTTTCTTTCTTAGGAATGATCTGTGTGGCAAGTCTCACATCCACATCTGCCTCATCCAATGCATCACTGAATTTGCACCCCAAATATTCTGTTTTGGTCCTACTCAACCTGAACCCTTTGGACTCCAGCGTTTGTCTCCACACCTCCAACCTCGCATTAACTCTGTCCCGCGTCTCATCAATCAGTACTATGTCATCCGCAAATAACATACACCATGGGACATTTCCCTGAATGGACTGCGTCAACTCATCCATCACCAAAGCAAATAGAAAAGGGCTAAGGAACTGATCCCTGGTGCAACCCCATCTCAACTGGGAAATGTTCCGAGTCTCCTCCAACCGTTCTAACCCGAGTCTTGGCTCCACCGTACATGTCCTTTATCGCCCTAATATAAATCATCGGGACACCTTTAGCCTCCAAGCACCTCCAGAGGACATTCCTTGGCACCTTGTCATATGCCTTTTCAAGGTCAATAACACCATATGAAGGTCTCTCTTCCTTTCTCTATATTTTTCTACCAGTCTTCGCATCAGATGGATGGCTTCGGTAGTCGATTTTCAATTTATTCAACCAAGCATAATTTGTCAAAGGAAAAATAACAAAACTGTGTTATCACATATATAGGGGAGGTATAATAATATGAAAAATTATTGATCAAAATTTAATATAAGGAAAGATGAAAGATAGAAATAATTAATGTAATAACAATGGAATTCATATTATTATAACTAATTCTCATAATTCATAATATTATAACTAAGAATGTAAAAGAGTTTGAATAGGTTTGCAGTAATTAGTAATAACTAAGAGAATTTATAATGTTATAACTAAAGAATTAATGTGCAGTAGCTGAATTTGTAATAAACTTTATACTTACATAAATAAATAGGACTTCTAATTAATGTTACTATTTTTTATAGTTATTAGATTTTAATTTAGAGTAGGGACCAAATGTAAATGTTTATTCCATATAACTGAATATAAAAATTATTTTGTAAATGATAAATTTTAAATGATTCATGTATATTCACATATTTTTACATTTGTTGTGTAGTTTTTTTTTTTTAAAAAATAACTCGGAACATTTTAAAATAATATATTTTTGAAGTTAGAAGATCTTGTTAACTTGATAATACATTTGTGACATATATAATACTTTAATTTAAATACAAATACCTGCCCAAATATAAATATATATTTTCATTAATGAGAATATTTATCTCACAAAAATTAGCTATTAAATAAATAATAAAAAGTAAACAAGCACAAACATCAACTGGTATTATTACAAGTCATATGAACATTTCTTCATCTAAAATACTAAAATATTAAGAAATAGTAAATAAGTAAAATAAAAGGGCAATGTTTATATAGTAATAACTATTTTGAAGCAAACTTCCTAAAAATATAAATCACATAAGTAGCATTGATAAATAAAGTCATTCTTTTGTCTTGAGCATAAAAAAACAAATCGTGAAAATTCTCTAAATTTTAGAAAAAGATATTCAGAAGCATATATCTACATCACAAGAAAAACTGTTAATAAAAACAAATGAATTTAGACAACATCATGTTAACTTCATATATTGGAACATTACATACTGAAAAAAATAATTGTTATATCATTAAAATTATTTTCCTCAAGTACTCGAGGTTGTGGAATATAACCTCTTAGGATGGAACGATTTACTTCATCTGAATAGTGGTACATCATATTTCGCTAAGCTTCGAATTCACTCAACGATAATAAAACACAAAAAAATTAAAATGCAAGAAGAAGAAGAGTAGAAGATTAAAAAAAATTGTGGATGAAAAATGAGAGGAAGCCCCTCTATTTATAGTCAACAATGGTGGTATGAAGAAGTGTTTTTTGTGTCTTATCTAAAAAGTCATGACCTTTCCGAAAAGTCACAACCCTTTGGAAAAGTCACAACTATTTGAAAAGTCACAACTCATCAAAATATCATAACCCTTTGAAAAAAGTCACAACTTACTCAAAAAGTCACAACTATTTGGAAAGTCACAACTCATCGAAAAATCACAACCCTTTGGAATAAGTCACAACTTATCGGAAAAGTCACAACTCATCGACAAAGTCACAACCCTAAGTTAGGGATATTATAGTAATTTAACATTCAAGTTAGGAGTTCATGCTTTTAAGGTAATATAGAAGATAGATATATATATTATTAACTAAGTTAGGAAATTAGTAATTCTATATATATATATATATGGAAACATGTCATCGTCAACATGCCATGTGTTGCATATGGTCTCAAACTAAAAGCTAAGCTTTCGGATTTCAATGGCCTAAAGTCACAAGAGGACCATTATATTTTAATTCTTTGAATTAGTAGGATTGCCCACTAAGCTACCTATTATTTTAAAAGATAGAACTATGAAAAAAGTTAGAGAAATATTTATAAATTATATCACAACAAATATTTTTATGTATAATTTTTTCTTAAAGTAGAACTATGAAAAAAGTTAGAGAAATATTTATAAATTATATCACAACAAATATTTTTATGTATAATTTTTTCTTAAAGTAGAACTATGAAAAAAGTTAGAGAAATATTTATAAATTATATCACAACAAATATTTTTATGTATAATTTTTTCTTAAAGTGTGTATATATATATATATATATAAAAAATCGCAGATTAGTGATGTGATTTGATTTTCTTTAGTTAAAACCAAATCAAATCAATTATGATTGATTTTTTTTTCACTATCAAACTAAATCACTAATTATTATTTTTGGCGTGGAATTAGGACATAATCCAAATGTATTTAGGTCATTTAGATCTGATTATGTGTTATGTTGATTAATTGTAGATCAAGAGCATGCTAGGTATGGGGGAAAATTAGGTTCCATAGAGCATTCTAGACTTGATTCGTGGTAAGTAATAGTTACATTGTTTGATTTCCGTTTATGTTATATGTGCTTGTTAACTACTGCATTAGTATTACTTGTAGAACATATGACTAGGGAAATGAGAGGAATATAAGTGGACATGTTTTATTGTTATCAATCGCAGTGGATGTTTTTATTTGGTGTACAAGTGTGATTTGTATTCAGCGTTATTGTGGATGTGATTGTGATGTATGATTGATAATTGGTTCGGGTACCATGACTAATACATACTAACGGTTGATATTGGCACCACACCTGATACGAGATATCTATTTAAGGTTGGCTCAGGTACCACACTAGTACAAACTAACGGTTGGATCGGGTACCACACCTATTACATTAACTATATGTCTGTGTTGGTTCCGTGAGTGAATCGGGTTGGCTTGTTACACTGTTGTTGCATGTGTTATCTTTTTTAGTAAGTTGTGGTTACCTGTTCATAATTGGCATAACATGAGTTGGTTGGCGATACTATTTGTACACTGTGAATTTTGTGTACTGATATTGCACTAGCTCTTATTTTGTTGAGTATATGGCATATTCTGATCGCAATTTCGGGTGACCTTAGTTGTGACTCCAGTGTTTCCTAAATTCAAGGGTGAGTTGTTCTTTCGGGATGCTATGGACTCCTCTATTCTATCCGTTTTTTGGAGCTAGACTCTTCTGTTTTTGGATTGCATCCCCACATTCTAAACTAAGAATATATACTTTGGCACAAGACTTTCAGATTTTATGGGATGGGGTATTCCACAATTGTTTTCTAACTTTGGCTTTGGATTATGCATGAAGGCTTGTGTTTTAAATTGTTGGAAACCTTTTACTTTTGTTTGTTTCGCAGAATGTGTGGTAGTAGTTAATTGGTTCTCCCATTGGGGATTAGTTTGGGTGCCTCTCATGACGGGTTGAATCGTGATACCTCTCATCTTCACCCCATCTCCATAGCTCACATTCCCATGTCCCTACCAGTCTATTCCCCTTTTACTTCTGATAGTATTTGCCTAGATTATATACAAATATTTTTAAAATAATAATTTTTGCTTATGTACCAAACACAAAAATAAAATAAAATAAGAAATTCACTTACTTTACTATAAAAAATAGTTTTCTCATACCAAATGCACCCTAAATATATCAAAGTTTAAGCCTAATTATTGTCATGCGAAGACCAGACCAGACCTTACGATACTAATTTAAAAGAAGAAAAAAACATCAAAATAAAAGGAATACTGAAAGATTCAAAGAAGTAACATATTTATCAATTGTAACACATATGGATATCCATTAATTTAATTTAAGGGATAATTTCGAAGATATTTAAAATGCATAATTTTTTTATAATAATTTTTTAAATAATTTTGTTATATATATTTAATAGAATTGATTATTAAATTTATTTGATTAATTATATTTTATATCTTTTTAGTCAATTAAATTTACATTACGTTGTTAATTGTGTAATAATAGGGGTATATAAGCACTTTTGTAACGAAAGATATATTAATTCTAAATTGCAAAATTAAAGAGTATATCATATCCTTTTCCCTTTGATATGTAGTGAATAAGTAAAAAAAATGGTAATAAATATTAAAAAATAATATTTTTTAAAAATAAACGAACAATAAATTATAATATAACATTAATTTCACGTGCAAGTTTGTAAGATCAATTTTGAAGTCATGGAGATGCCAAATTATGAGGTACTGAATGAAAGGCTTCCTATGAAGATAGCTATATAGCATATTGTTAAATTCATATTAGAAAAAGGCAACGAACAAAAATAGTAATACTACTACGGATGGTATACAAGTGAAATTATAAAAAGTCATTTGATTTTTCTGTAAATGGGGACAATAGCACAACTATTAGGAAGCGGCTCCTATCCAATAGAGGTTCTGTCTATTTCAACCAATGGAGCATTAGATTCTTTATACATGTCCTATAAATATTTTAATGAATTGATTTAATTATCCTTTAATCAGGATTAATTGTTTTTACAATGGTCATTCACCTCTTTCTGAATATTTATATTTTCATAGCCAAATAGTAATACATCGTCCCTCTGTTCTTTTTATTTTTGAAATTTTTTATTTATATCCTCTTCTCTATTTGTAGTATTATTTTTAATTCAAAATAAAAGTTTTTAATATAAAAATAAAAAAGCAAAACCATAAACGAATTATAATTTTTTTTAAAAAATTCACTTTGTAAAAAAGAGGGGAAACTACGCAACACATAAATATTTAAAATCTCAACCTTCTTCAACATTGAAGAAAAACACACAATATTTTTGTCGATCTCTCAATGAGCAGAAAGACATTATACAACTCCTAACAAAATTTTTAATTTCAGCCTAATTTAATTATCTAG